GGACCTTTGTTTTCTCTTTTTCTTTTCTTAGAAAGTCTCACCAGAGGCTTGCCAATTTTATTAGTTCTTAAATTTTTTCTGCCTTTTGTTGATTCTCTACTGTATATGTGTTTTCTATCTCATTAATTTCTGCTCCTATCTTTATTTCATTTCTTTAGCTTTTCTTGTACTTATTTTTAGTCCTTTTCTAACTTCTCTAGGTGGACAGAATGCTTGTTTATTTTCAGTATTTCTTCTTTTCTACTAATATGTCTTTATGGCTATACATTTCCTTCTAAGGGTTTTTAGAGCTAAATTATAAATCTTAATATGGAATATTTTCATATTGTTCAATTCAAAATATTTTATAATTCTGTTATGATTTCTTCTTTGACCATGGGTTATTATATTATGTGCTAAATTTCCAAATAGATGAGAATTTTCTGGTTACCTTAACTGTATTAGGATCAATAGTATATTCTATCTAGTCTATATCATTTCATTCATTTGAACTTTGATGAGACTTGTTTTGTGGTCCAGTTTATAATCAGTTTCTTTAGATGTTTTATGAAAGTATTTTCTGAAGTACTTAGGTAGAGTGTTCTATATTTGTCCATTAGATCAAGTTTCTTGATTATTCTTTCCTGGTATTTTATTCTCATTCAAGTTTTTGTCTGCTTGTTCTACAAATTACTAAAAGAGGTGTATATAAAAGCTCCCACTGTGATTCTGGACCTATTTCTCTCTTGTTTTGACCATTTTTTACTTTACATATTTTGAGACCATGTTATCTTCTCCACTTAACATGTGGGTGGGGGCAGGAAACAAAGAAGGAAAATTAGTTGTAAAGATAACTCCACCTCCTTTTAATCAATCAAAAGCATTGCTGGACAAGTAACTCCCACTGTAGGACATTTCCCTTGATGACATTTGTTATGGGTTACATTGTGTTCCCCTGAAAGAGATAGTGTGGGCATCCTAACCTCCAGTCCCTCAGAATGTGATCTTAGTTGAAGATGGAGCCTTTACAGAATGAATCAAGTTAACAGGAAGTCACTAGGATGGGTCCTAGTCCAATATGACTGGTGTTCTATTGAAAAGGAGAAATTTGGACACAGAGTCAGACGGGTATAAGGGGAAGATGACCATGGACAGGCCAAGGAGAGAGACCTCGAGCAGATTCCCCTTCAGGTCCCTCAGAAGGACCAACCCTGCAGACACCTTGATCTCAGACTTCCAGCCTCCAGAACTGTGAGGAAATAAAGGTCTGTTGTTTAAGCCACCCAGCTTGTGATCTGACTATGGAAGCCTTAGCAAACTAATAGAACATTTGTAACTCTCACGGCTATTTTGTTTTTTAAAAAGTATGTTTTCAACAGAGGGAGAAAAACCTTTTCTTTCCCTAAACATGTAAAATAAGGAACCAGAAGTTAAGAGTGAAGTTGATCTGCTATTAACAGAATATCCTTTTACATTCTAACAGCAAAGTTAAAATTTTCTTTTTAATCTGGCATCAAGAGAAAGTTTTGTTTAATCAACTCGGTGGGCCAGTCTTTATTGAGCAAAGGAAAACAATTTCCATGTTCTCAGAATTGCATTTTATTATTTCCTAATTAAGGACGAGAAAGACAATTCCCAAGCTTCCTTCGGAGAAGATTGGTGCAATAAGCATAATTACCTCTAAGAGGTTTAATAATAAATCACCCAATCTCCTGAGCATAATAAATACAACCAGGGAATAATCACAAATTCAACTTCAGGGCAGCATGAATTAGAAATATAGTGCAGACACACTGAACTTTTCTGGAAGTCCAATTTTTAAAGAAGCTTAGTTTTCTTAGCATAGACCTTGTGACACACTTTTTTGAGGCCATGTATTACTGGAAAGAGAAGGGTGTGCTGATGTACAGGTTGGGCTGTCCTAAGATGATGTCAACAAGGGTAACAATGTCCTTCTACAAACTCTTTACAGTGCCTTGTTAGAGAGAAAAGATGTGGCTGAATAAAGAACAGATTATGGATGAATATGGCCCAAGACAGAACTTAAGAATACGGTAGACCTTTGCAATCATATACGCAGGTTTTCTTGTTAGTGATATGCTGATTTCTCTAATTCCCAAAAGTACCTGATATTGTGAGCACTTTTGAAGTTCTTGTCCCATGTTGGGACCAATGCCTGGAATATGCATTTGATAGATTTGATAGGTTGTCAACTGACGAATAAGATAAACAGATTGATGTGACTCCAACTTTATTAGAGCTCATAAATCCAGAGCAAGCTTACTGACTAAGGAATACGCTGATACCCAGTCTGATACACTAGATATGGAAACAGTGGGCTGGATCGATGAAAGTCTGATTTAAAGTACTTGGGTTTCCAGTTCCATCCATGATGTTGCAAATGGTAGGAGTTCCTTCTTTTTAACAGCAGCATAGTATTCCATCGTGTAGATGTACCACAGTTTTCTAATCCATTCATCTACTGATGGGCACTTAGGCTGTTTCCAGATCTTAGCTATGGTGAATTGTGCTGCTACGACCCATTATGCTAAGTGAAACAAGCCAGTCAATGAAGGAAAAATACCACATGATCTCACTCATTCATGGATAATAAAGACCATTACAAACTTTTGAACAATAATAGATACAGAGGCAGAGCTGCCTCAAACTGATTGCCAAACTGCAGTGGGAAGGCCAGAGAGAGTTGGGGGGCAGGAGGGAGGGGAGTAAGAGATCAACCGAAGGACTTGTATGCATGCATATAAGCATAACTAATGGACATAAGACACTGGGGGGTAAGGGAGGGTAGGGGTGTGTCAAGGGCGGGGGGGAAAAAAAAAAGGACACTTATGTAATACCCTTTGTAATACTTTAAGCGAAAAAAAAAAAAAAAAAAATAAAAAAAAAAAAATAAATAAAAAAAAAAAAAAAAAAAAATAAAGTACTTGGGTTTAAAAATGTTGACAAAGGGCCACTTAACTAACTCATTTTGATCGTCTTTAGTTTATAGATTCTACAAAACAGAAGAATCTTGGAAGTCATCTTCTTCAATCCTCAACTTAATATAGGACACTCATATAGATGGTCACCTAACTCTTCCTAAACACTCCACGTGATTTGAGTGACCCAGAAAACGGAACATAGAGGGATTCAGCAAGTGATTTATTCATTGCGGGTGGGAGGTTGTGAGGAGGGAGAGGTAGCAAAGAAAACCTCAGTAGCATTCTGCAGAGGCCACCACCCAGGGCAAGAGACAGGCGTGGTTTCCATGGTAATAGATAAGACCTCATTCTCTTCTAGGCCAGAAAACCTGATTTGATGATTTCACTCAAGCTGTGGAGTCAGAACCACTCAATCCTCTGTCAGCTCCGGGCACTGCCTCTAGAAAAATGCCTTTTATTTTAGCAGGTTGTTATTAATGATTCCTCTTTCTTGTCTCAGAAATGTTCCCTTACTCAGTGATGTGCTGGGTGAAGGAGTGTTTTTTGAAAATTTCCATCCCCTTCACAGCTTTCAGATTTGGCTCATGTGAAAAAGAGGTGAGAAAGTGGAAATTTTCCTTTACCCAGACCGAGAGCTTCATCACTAATTGTCTCCAGATATATGAATCTACACTGTGTCATTTTCCTGTTAACATCTGTAGCAGTTTTGATGTCTGTAGTGGTTTGGGTTCAATTCACAGACCCATCCCTTTCTAGTTCTGTGATTTGGAACAAGTTAATAAACCTCCCGAAAGTCTCAGTTTTCTTATTTATATTCTGGGATATGATGCTAGTACTTGCTTCATAATGGAAAAATGGATATAAAGTGCTTAACACACAGCCAAAAGCTGAATAAATTATTATTAATCTCACATCTAGACTGTTTTTCTGGCTTTTCCATTACTGAATGGAGAACTTTAATTCTTAGTAATTTTTAATACCTATTATTCAAAGGAGTTGGGAAATGTGGTATTTCAACTAATTGAATATTATGAGTAACAGAGTTGATACACACACACACACACAAAATCAACATATGAGATCAAGAATATTTAGGGAATGAGATTCACAATTATATTCAAGAGACAATTTTATTGCAAAGCACTTAAAACTTAGAATTTGAATCTAGCTGGCTAATTCCAGAATCTCTACTTTAAGTTTCCAAAGATATGAACATAAGTAGGTTCTATGTACAACCATCTTACAAATACATAAGCTGAAATAATTCCTTTTTATCTACAAGTTTATGGCACCTGAAAGCGCAGACCCTCATTGTATAACCATAAGAAAGTCATTTAAACTCTCAAGCATACTTTTCCTTGTCTGTAAAATGGAGACAAGGTTAGTACCTCCTCCCTGGAGTTGCTGTGAAGTTCAAAGTGACAGCCACTGAACAAGAACGGAGCCCATGGGATGCACTCAGTCATGTTAGCTTACTGCAGCGGTTCTCAACCTGTGGGTCGCGGCCCCTTTGGCGGTCGAACGACCCTTTCACAGGGGTCGCCTAAGACCATCCTGCATATCAGATATTTACATTACGATTCATAACAGTAGCAACATTACAGTTATGAAGTAGCAACGAAAATAATTTTATGGTTGGGTCACAACATGAGGAACTGTATTTAAAGGGCCAGAAGGTTGAGAACCACTGGCTTAGTGGACTCTCTCAGTGCCCCACCTGGATCCTCTTTACAGGCAGTGAGCCCGGCCCTGGCTGCTGTTCCAGGTGACTGATAACAATTCACAGCTGCCTACAGTCCTCAGCCAAACAGAAGTCTCCTTGCCCAGGAGGCAACGCCTCCCAGCCCTCAATCTCAGCCAATGGCAACAGATTTTCTTGGTACAAAAGGCCTCAAGTTGGGCTTAGTTGTGTGATGCTGCTGCAGCCCCCTTGTGGGATCAAGCGGACCCTGGTCTTCAGCAGGTACCACACTCGCATTTAAGCCTCTACTCCTGTCCCACTCTGCGTCTTTCCCTCCTCGTATCCTGGGGGCACTTCTTCTATCACTTATAAGAATTTCTTTTTCATCTTCGTTGTAGCTGCTCTGGAACCCAACCTGAGACAGCTGGCCTCAGACACGGCCTTAGGAAGCCTGAGGACGCGACTCTGGAGTTGGCTGGCTTGCTGGCTGGATGGCAGAGAGGACCCCACAGCTGAAGGTAGGTGAAGAGTTGATCCTCCCTGCTTTGCTACACACTGTGGGGTGGGGGGTGGGGGGGCGGGTGGAGATTCAGATGTGCGGGCAATGTGCTATTGGGTGCAATGTCTCAGCCTTTGAGAGGTGTGGGAAAATGATAACGATAAGGTCTCTGGAATTGGGTGGGTAGTTGAAGAGAGAAAATCACAGACTCGGGATTTATGGGTCAAAAATTGAAAGCAAAGTGTGAGAGGCAGAGGCCTTCACTCCTGCCTCTGGGATGAGGTGGGAGCAGAAACAGCTGAAGCTCGGGCACAAGCCTTAATTGCAATCGTGCAGAGCTCTGAGAAGGCTGAGTTCTGAGCCGAGGCAAGTCTCTTAAGCCGGAGTTGGGGCCTTTTTGGGCAGAGTGTCACCCTGAGGCTCCTGATACAGATATTTTCTGCGTCCTGCACTTTGCGCTTTCCCCGGAACCCCCTATCCTGAAGAGGTGTCCTCTTTCTCATTGTTTGAAGGTGGAGCCTCCTACCCCAAGTTGCTGGAAGCCTATAAAGAGACGTCAGTGAAGACCTCACAAAACTGTGCGGTTCTTTTCAGAATATGCTTCCATTTTCCCTCCTGGCCACCAGACTAGCATCACATCAGCCAAGGAGCCTTGGGACCTAGAGAGAATTTATTGGCAGAAACTGGAGAGTGTGTCTAAGAAGGACCCTGAAAGTGTTTGACTAAGAGGGGATTGAATATACAGTTGGTTATAGGAAAGTTTGTGGATGTGGGAGCACCCCACCACAGCGTAAGTTAATACCCTAGCAATGCCTAGGACAGGGGTGGGGAGCCTTTTTTTCTGCCAAGGGCCATTTGGATATTTATGACATCATTCTCAAGCCATACAAAATTGTTAACTTAAAAATTATGTTGCTATGAGAAAAGCTCCTAGATTTATTGAATTTTGAATCCTGTCTACAGTTGCCTTGGCAGATCTAGACCAAATGATACGGCCCGTGGGCAGGACATTCCCCCACCTCTGGCCTAGGAGGTGACTCTAAATTGTGGCTGGGATAGCTCTTAGAAGATTGGCGAAAGCAATGAGCTACACGCGGTGCAGTAAAAATGCACGAACTGCTGTAGCCACTGGTGGAGGAAGCAAGCTCAGAGAAGTGGGTATGCTGGTTTAGCTCTGCCGTATACTAGTAAGACCAGAACACCCACTAGCTGAGCAAATTCTCAGGAGGGACCAGAGGTCGCCCCAGTCGGCAAGGCAGTAGGGTATGCACCGGTGGGGAGGACCCAGCATCACTGAGAATCTCAGCAGTCGCTGTGTTTTGTGGGCTAGAACTGATGCTTACACAGTTGGATCCCCTCAGGGATGATAATGGGATGATAGGATTCTGGAAAAGCAGAGGCCACGTGACAACAATTATCGGAAGCCAAGGCGGGTATGATTATGATAATAGGGGCAAGCTCAGAATGGCAGCCAGAGACTACAGGACACTTGCTTCAGATTTAAGATACTTGCTTCAGATTGTAACAGGTACGAGGTAATACGGTGCTGACAATTTGCATTTCGCTGATGATTGGTGATGTTGAGCACCATTTCATGGACCTGTTGACCATTTGTTTTTGTTGTTTGGAAAAATGTTTATTCAGATCTTCTGCCCATTTTTTAATTGGATTTGGGGGTTGGTTTGTTTTGCCATTGAATTGTGTGAGTTCTATCTATTTTGAATATTAACTTCTTATCAGTTACATGATGTGCAAATATTTCCTGCCATTTAGTCGGTTGCCTTTTCATTTTGTTGATGGTTTCCTTTGCTGCGCAGAAGCTTTTTAGCGCGTAGTTCCTCCACTTGTTATTTTTTCTTTTGTTGACTTTGCTTTGGTGTCAAATTCAAAAAATGTATTGCTGAGATCCATGTTAAGGAGCTTACCACTTGGCTCCAGGGCTTACATTTAAGTCTTAAATCCATTTTTGAGTTTCTCTTTGTGTATGGTGTAAGATCCTGGTCCAGCTTTATTCTTTTGCATGAAGCTGTCCAGTTTTGCCAACATTTATTGAGGAGGCTGTTCTTTCTCCATTGTATATTCTTGGCTCCTTTGTGGTAAATTAACTGACCATGTGTGTGTGGTTTCTTTCTGGGTTCTTTTTTTCTATTCCATTGAGCTGTGTGTCTGTTTTTATGCCAATACCATACTTTGATTACCTTCTGGGATAGTTTGAAATCAGGAAGTACGATGTCTCTGTTTTTCATTCTCAAGATTGCTTTGGCTATTTGGGGTCTTTTGTGGTTTTATATAAATAGAAGGAGTGTTCTATTTCTGTGAGAGATGGCGTTGGAATTTTGATACAGAATATATTTACACATAAGATTTTGCGACGTATGAGACGTCGATGAGGAGCGAAAGCATGCTGCACAGGGACGGTGCTGGGATGGGCTAACAATTTGTAGGAAGCATCAGTTGTATAAAGTCCTGGAGGGCAGGGACCTCTTTTACCCACCTTGACCTTCAGTGCCTGGAACATCGGCACTCATTAAATAAATATTGACCTTATTTTATGAGGGGCTTATAAAAAATTAATCGTAGTAAAACAAGAAATTAAATGGTTATCAATTTAACCACTTAGAAATATGTGTTTCTAAAGTAATACATCACTTTGTCAGTAACTGACACAGGGTTGATACAGAGAAGTTGTGCTAAGTAATAAGAAAAGCACTAAGCGCTAAATGGGTAAAGAAGCAGACTTATGGACAGACAATTAAAATAAAATCATTATCAACATACAGAAAAATATATTAAAGATATTTCCTCCTCCTAAGTTAGCAATTTTTTTTTCAGTAAACATATATAATTCTGGTGAATGTGTGGATAAATAAGTACCTGCATGTATGCCTGGATGTTATTATGAATTAGCACAATTGTGGAATTTGATATTTTAATCTACCAATAATCATAAAAATATGAATCAGGTTTGCTCCCATCTTTACAGTTTTGGAAAGAATCTTAAGGAAATATCCCTTCTAGGGAAATTATCCCAAATTAAAATTAAAATGTTAAGAAATTCAGGGCAGTCTTATTTATAACAACAAAGGGTTGGAAACAACATTGAAGCCTAACCTAGTGGAAGGGTTACGTAAAATATGGCCCATCTGCTCTGGGGAAGATCTGTGATCAGTCAATGTGTGTCAGGAGCGAGGCGGGGAAAGGAAAGTGAGGGTTTTATTGTTTAAAGTGCCATCTTTCCCCAAATTCCCGTTTCAGTGCCTGGTGTTTCTACGTCTCGAATGCCTCTTATTCAATTTCACGGGAGATTCAACTCTTGACCTTTTGCCAGGGGTTGGTCATCTGGCTGTGTAGTTTGAGAAAGAGGGTCCTTACATAGATTCCAACCAAGTCCCTATTTCCAGTCCCATCCCTCACCCTCCTTTTGGTAGTGCCTGGGTCTCCACACGCTAAGCCTTTCAGGAAGCTGTTAAGCAAGTGACCTTTTCCTCCGAAGGCCTGTGGCCTCTCCTCTCTGAGGTGCCTGTCCCGGCGTCTCCCTCTGGTATTTAACGAGATGTCCAAGGGAGATCTTCCCAAACTGCCAAATCTTACCTATGCTTTCCTTCTATGTTCTCGTGTTCCTTGTGGATTTATATATTTTTGTTCCTTCACTGTAACGGAGAAGAGAGTATTTTAAAGGATAAATGATAAGCCACCTCGTTTACCTAGAGACAGGATGCTTTTTTAATGGAAAAATCTGAAGAAAAAAAAATAAAAATGACTCGGAAATGCCAACACTGCTCACCGTGGTTAACACAGATCGGCATCAGTTCAGTGGGAAAGTGGCCAATGGACCTGATTTATTTGACCTTTCACCCCTCACCCCTCCAATAACAAAGGTTTCACAGTTATGTAGGTGCTTGCACAGTTCTTGGAATATCAAAGTTTAGGGATTCATATTTATAAATATTTATTGATGAAAAAAAATAACATTATCGAAATCTTTTTCCAAAATTGTTTTCTGCAAATCGGCACAAACGTTGCAAGCAGGAATTAATATTTCAGCTCTTGATTGCTTTGATCTTTGGTTATTTCTCCCAGCAAAACTGTAAACATGAAAAATTGGCACTTTTTTGGACAAGGGACTGGATATAAAAGTTTATCATTTGAATGGACTGTATTGTAACCGGTAACCTCAGATACATTTCCTAAATGTTTCTTTTTTTTTATTGTATCTTTCCTCTATCAAATTTCTTATTTCATGAGGTTAATGTCCCCACTTCATATTTAAAGTGAGCCAGAAACTGCTTAGTCCCCTGATCCATCCGCCCTCCCTCCTCTCCCACCAACTATATTACCATGAAAACATAAAGTTTGCTCCCATTATGATACTTCTGAGGATTTGGAAGAATACATAGCCCCTACTCTACTGGAGGCACACACACAGATACACAGATATAAATATACATATACACACACACACACACACACACACACACATATCCATATATATGGATATCCACATATATGGATGGATATATATATACACATATATATATATCATATATATATATATATCATACTTTCTTCATTTGTTGATGGACACTCAGGTTGTTTCCATATCTTAGCTATTGTGAATAATACTGCAATGAACATAGGAATGCAGATATCTCTTTAAAATCTAGATTTTCTTTGGATATACGTATATCAAGAAATGGGATTGCTGGATCTTATGGTAGTTCTATTTTTAAATTTCATAGTGGCTGTACCAATTTATATCCCTCTCCCCGCCAAAGCACACAAGGATTCCCTTTTCTCCACATCCTCACCAACGTCTATCTTTTTGACAAGAAGCATCCTAACAGGTGAGATGATGTCTCATTATGGCTTTAGTTGGCCTTTCCCTGATGATAGTGATGCTGAGCCCTTTGTATGCATCTGTTGTCCAGTCCTCTGTCTTCTTTTGAGAAATGTCCATTCAGATGTTTGTCTACTTTTTCAGTCAGGCTATTTGATTTTCTGCTCCGAGTCGTATGAGTT